ATGAGGTCTCGCCAAGTTGCCCAGGCAGGTCTCGAACCCGTGGGCTCAGGCAATCTGCTCACCTCGGCCTCCCAAAGCGCTGGGATTACAGGCTAAGCCACTGAGCCCGGCCAAATATATTTATTTATTTAGCCAACTGCAGAAAGCTTGCTAGGTCATAGAGATATAGTAATTCAGGGTCTCACCTTATAGACCTTGCAGTTGAATGGACTTGGGGTCATTCATTCTGCAAAACCTTATTTCTCACTTACTACATGGAAAGCATTCTTCTAGGTGGCAGGAATACAGTAGTGAGCAGGCAGATGGTCCCTAAAATTGCAGAATTTACATGAGAGGAAGGGAGGCAGACAGTGAGCAGTAAATACATGTGAAAAGTCTTTTCAGAGAGGAATATTCACTATAGGAAAAGAAACTGGGATCTTTGAATAGAGGATGACTACATGGAGGTGGAGGACAGCATTAGCTAGAGATGCCAGGGAAGGCCTTATAGAAGAGATGACACTTGAACTGAGGACTGGATGAGAGAGAGCCAGCAGAGGAAAGTTTTATGCAAAAATGGCAGCAAGTGGCAAAAGTCTGACGTTCTTTCTTAATTTGGGGTATCTGAGGGATAGCAAAGTGGACAGGTAGCTGAAATGTAATAGTAGACGGAAAGGGGCAGGTGATGAGGTTGACAGGGCCCCGACCATGCAGGGGTTTGAGGACCATGGAAGGACTTTACACTTTACTCTTAAATCCTAATTGAGTTACTTTGGGAGGCTAAGACAAGAGGATTGCTTGAGGTCAGGAGCTCAAGACCATCCTGGGCAATATAGCAGGCCCTGTCTCTATAAAAAATGAAAATATTGGCAGGACACTGTGGCTCAAGCCTATACTCCCTAGCACTTTGGGAGGCTGAGGCAAGAGGACTGTCTGAGCTCAGGACTTCAAGACTAGCCTGGGCAACTTGATGACACTTCGTCTCTATAGTAAATCAAAAAATTAGCCAGGCTGGTGGCGTGTGCCTGTAGTTCCAGCTACTTGGAAGGCTTAAGGCAGAAGGATTGCCTGGGCCAAGCAGGTTGAGGCTGCGGTGGCTGTGAGTGTGCACTACAGTCTAGGCAACAGAGTGAGACTCTGACTCTAAATAAATAAATAAAAATAAAAATATTAAGCTGGATTTGGTGGGGCGTGGCTGTAGTTTCAGCTACAGGTAAGGTGGGAAGATCTCACTTGAGCCCAGGAGTTCAATTCTGCAGTGAACTATGATCATGCCCTCCAGCCTGGGCAACAGACCAAGACTTTGTTTCTTTAAAAGAAAAAAAAAAAGAAAGAAAGAAAAAGAAAAGTAACAACTAACTGGCAGGTAGTTTCTTTTACAACTGCAGTGGTTCTAACTTTCCAAATGGTAAAGCTTTTACCCCTTTATTTTAGCCTCACTGTTCCTTAGGGTATTATCCCTGTTGGATTGATGAAGAAGCAAAATCACATAGGAGTTAGGTGGCGGGACTGAGGTTGTATAGCTGGTGAGTGGGAGAACCAGGTTTTAGAACCTGTGTGTCCTGTTTCCAGCTTGTGCTTTTATACTCTATCTGCTGCCTCCATGCCTTCTACTGTTCTTTGGTTTTTATTCTTTGAACACTAGAGATAGTGAAAGGGGTAATTAAGAGGAGGAGTGTAGGTCTGCTTGGTCCTGTGTTAGGTATTCCATTTCTTTTGGGCTTTAGGCATATGATACCTAGCAATTAAAACCTTGGGTAAGAGACTAGGCAGCAAGTCAAAGTCAGCTCATCTGATACAGACGGTCATTTAGTTCAGGAAGTGTTCTTGTGGTGATTTATACTTGGGATGTGGCCAGGTACGTCTCGTGCATCTTAAAAGTACCTTCTTTTAGTTCCTGTTAACCATGTTTAGATCCTGCTAACCATTTAGGTAGTGTTGAGCCCTCTCTGCAAATATTACAATTTTTTCACCCTTCACTGCAGGGAAGTGAAAAAGGAACACTTCTCAGCACAAATATTAATTCTTTGAATATATTCCTTTTAGTTATATTTAGTGAGATGCTGTTATTAGAAATGGATGAACTTAACAAAAATTTAAAAATCAAGCCTGGAAATATTGTGGAACTCTAATTATAACCTCATCTTGTGAAATGTCTTCTCTAGACTAGAGGGTGATTTGGTGATGAAAACAGTATCTGAGCCGGGTTCGGTGGCTCAGCCTGTAATCCCGCGCCTTTGGGAGGCTGAGGTGAGTGGATTGCCTGAGCCCGCGGGTTTGAGACCCGCCTGGGCAGCAAGACCTCATCTCTACAATGAATCAAAAAAATCAGCCGGGCGTGGTAGCGCATGCCTGTAATTCCGGCTACGTGGAAGGCTGAGGTGGAAGGATCGCCGGAGCCCAGCAGATCGAGGCTGCGGTGGCCGGGAGTGGCCACTGCACTCCAGTCTGGGCGACAGAGTGAGACTCCAACTCAAAAAAAAAAAAAAAAAATGAAAACAGTATCTGAGCATAATAGCCACAAGTTCTTTGTGCTTGAGCCTTGTGTTTTGAACTTTTGTGTTAGGGGAAAATTGTTTACTTTTCTAAACGCAAGGATACCATCTTCATAATTGACATGGTTCTACTCTATGGTAACTTTTTCTATGAGCCAATGGTAATAGGTAAGAATCAAGTATATTTTGTACCACACATCTTCTGATCAGTGGAGGCAAAGAGACACATTTTGGAACCTTACCATATGATTAATAAAATTAACATTAAGTAAATTAATTGACTTTGAATTTTGATGATTTTCTATTCCTTTCTTTTATTTACAGGGGATCATTGAAAACTTTTGTCCATACAGTCCATCTGTTACAGAAACAGACTGATCTAGGGTCCCTGCCTGTAGCTGATGTACTGTATAGGTAAGTTGCCTTGAATCTTTACCTTCCTTCCAAACAAGGTAGATTTGTGCATAAAGGCTCTTTTAATAAGTAGATTTTGCTGCATGGCAAAGTGGTTCATGCCTGTAATACCAGCACTCTGGGAGGCTGAGGCAGGAGAATTGTTTCAGCCCAGGAGTTTGAGATCAGTCTGGGCAATATAGTGAGACCCTGTCTCTACAAAAATTTTAAAAAGTCACCAGGGCAGGGTGGCATACGCCTGTGGTCCTAGCTACTCAGGAGGCTGAGGCAAGAGGATTGGATGAGCCCAGTAGTTCAAGGCTGCAGTGAGCCATGGTCACACCACTGCAGTCTAGCTTGGGCAACAGAACCATATACTGTCTCAAAAATAAATAAAGTAGATTGGTAGATCCTGAACAATTAGTGACTCATTTAAAAATAAGTATAAATCACATTTGCTTTCTTAAGTAAGAATTTTGTTTCTTATTCTTTCCTTACTAGAGCATGCTGTTTTTCATTCTTTTTTATTTTTGTGTCTTTAAAAAAATGCAATATCTTATGATGAATTCTTATTATAAATTTTGAAATTATATCATATTGAGGTATAAAGAAGAAAGTGAAAATAATTTATAATCTCATTACCCAAAAAATAATCACTACTATCATTTTGGTATACATGCATGTATACCAAAATGATAGTAGTGCTCTCTGTCTGTTTCTGTCTCTCACATACAAGTGTACATATAAAATACATACATTTCGCACACAGTTTTATTATATTTTTATAAGCACTGCCTTGTAATTTTTTATTTTAAAATATTGTGAATATTTTTTGTGAATAATATTTGCATAAAATATTATACATCTTAGTTTTAAGGCTTTCGTTTCTACTTTTTAGGTATTAAGTACACTTTTAATTCTTGCTGGAAATGAATAATCTCAGTGTCTTTGTGATTCTCTCTCTCCCCCATATAGGCTATTGCTTTTGGAAGGGGGGCCTGGATCCCCCTCCTGTTTGCTTGGGGGCAAACACATAGTTTCATGGGGCTATGAAGACATGTTACCTGCGCCAGATAGCAACACTGGCTCCAGTTCTGAAAATAAAGGTAATATAAGAGTTTTTTGTTCTGTGACTAATATTAAGATGTAAATAGAGTGGTTTTGGATCGTTGTACCCAATGATTTAGATAAAACTCTGTATGTTCCTTTTAATTAGGAGCTCAAGATTTCTATACAGTGTGTTCATTGTCTGCTTTATCAGTAAAAGTATAAAAGCTGATACTCAGTGAGGTAAGAAAATGGATAAGTTTCAGCAAGGCAAGGAAAAAGTATCATTCGTGTACACCTGCCAAGGAGGCATGAATTACTTAAATTGGTTTCTGGGTGTTTGAGTTTGGATGTGAGAGCCTTAAGCTGAATTTTTTGTCTGCTAATAGAGTATCAGGTCTTACTGCTTGATAATATTTCTTTTAGTAATTTATTGTGTGTGTGAATGAACCCTCCTATCCTGAAAACAAAATATGAGGAGGTTCACGGAAGTATGAATTGTTAATTGTCTCCATTAAACAAAGTAGTCTGAATTTAAATATTTTTATACAGCTTTACATTATCTCAACAAAAGTGGCAGAAGCTCTTTTAACTGACTTTCCAGATGAATAATACCTCTCCATTTGTTCTATAAAAAGTGCAGACCAGCCGGGCTCGGTGGCTCAGCCTGTAATCCCGCGCTTTGGGAGGCTGAAGTGAGTGGATTGCCTGAACCCGCAGGTTCGAGACCCGCCTGGGCAACTTGGCAAGACCTCATCTCTACAATAAATAAAAAACTAACTGGGTGTGGTAGTGCGCGCCTGTAGTTCCAGCTACGTGGAAGTATCGCCGGGGCCCAGCAGGTCGAGGCTGCAGTGGCCGGGAGCGGCCACTGCACTCCAGTCTGGATGAGACTCCAACTCAAAAAAAAAAAAGTGCAGACCATGTCATGGCCCACCAAACCCATGGGGCTAGTCAGCTCTTCTTGACATGCCTGTGCACTGCCTCTCCCACCAGCAGAGTTGCAGGTTTGCCGAGAGTTGGCCTTGCTCACAAACCATTTTGTTATCGCAATTGATACTTGTTTTGTAATAATACCATTAAATCTTACATAGCTAATGAAATAGGATGAAGAAAACTCTAGGAAATTAGTTTCATAAAAAAGCTGAATTTTTAGAAAGACTCAATAAAGTGAGTCTCTAAGAAACTGGTGTTCATCAAGTATAGTATTGAGACCCTATCCTGCCCACTCCTTCATTTCCTCACCTCCGTGGGGCAGCCTTCTTGAGCAACCCTAAGGGCATGGAGCAGAATGTAGACAACAGACCACCTTGTACCTCCCAGCCCGGTGCCTGTGCCTTGTCACAGTCCACCATTACTTCTAGACAACCATGCAAGAGTGTGGAAAGGAAGAGGCAAAGCTTTAGATACAATTGATTCCCTTCACTGACTCAACCAGAGTCAGCAGGAAAAGCAAAATGCCTGCAGTACCCAAGAAGTTGTCAGACTTTATAGGCTCAAGGAGACGTCTTCATCCAGAACTGAAACCCCTTTCTTTATTCTCTCTCTTTACTCCATTTGGTATCTACTTTGGGGTAGTTTCTTGCTGAAGGTGATGGTATTAAGCTGATATGTTTGCTTTTATTTGCTTGTACTTTGGTTTTACATCTGGGTAGAAGATGTTATTCTGAGAATGGTTTTTAGAATAATTTAACTTTTTTTAAAAAGTGAGTACTACAACATGGATGAATATGAGTGCTACAACATGGATGAATATTTAACTTTTAATATCAAAACATTCAACATTTGACCAAAGTTGAGGGAATACTGTGCTTGTCACTCAGTTTCCACAAGTGGTCCTGGTCAATCTTGTTTAGTCTGTCTCCTTCACTTATACTCCTCGTCAGACCCATACTATAAGGGCCTTGGGCCTTAATCTAAAGATTGGTGAATAAATGTAGTTTATGACTTTTAAAGTTAAAATATTTAAGGTATGAAATTAATATTTTAAAAATGATTGCTCACTTTACAGTTTTGGTTTCTGAGTTGGAGTCTCACTCTGTCACCCAGGCTGGAGTGCAGTGGCACACTCACAGCCACCCCAGTGTCGACCTGCAAGGTTCCAGCAATCCTTCTGCCTCAGCTTTCCAAGTAGTCAGAGTTACAGGGCTCACTACCATGCCTGGCTAATTTTTGATTTATTATAGAGATGAGGTCTCACCAAGTTGCCTGGGCTGGTCTTGAACCCGCGAACTTAGGCAATCCACTCGCCTCAGCCTCCCAAAGTGCTGGGATTACAGGCTGAGCCACCAAGCCCGGCCTACAGATTTTTTTAGGAGCAAATAGGTACAGGTCTCAGATGTCTCATATTAGTAGACTGAATTTTTTTTTTTTTTTTTTTTTTGGAGTCGGAGTCTCACTCTGTCGCCTAGACTGGAGTGCAGTGGCCGCTCCCGGCCACCGCAGCCTCGCCTGCTGGGCTCCGGCGATCCTTCCGCCTCAGCCTTCCCAGTAGCAAGAATTACAGGCATGCGCTACCACACCCGGCTGATTTTTTGATTTATTGTAGAGATGAGGTCTCGCTGCCCAGGCGGGTCTTGAACCCACGGACTCAGGCAATCCACTCATCTCAGCCTCCCAAAGGTGCGGGATTACAGGCTGAGCCACCGAGCCCAGCTAGACTGAATTTTTAAGATAACAACGTATTCAATACTAATCTGATTGTGTGACATTGAATTTCCTCCAACTAGTATGGCATGCTTCAGGTGGACAAACTCCACTTAAACATAGGGAGTGGAATGATTATGAAAATAAACACAAAACGTTTTACCCATAAACTCTATTTTTTTTTTTTTTTTTGAGTGGGAGTCTCACTCTGTTACCCAGACTGGAGTGCAGTGGCCGCTCCCGGCCACTGCAGCCTCGACCTGCTGGGCTCCGGCAATCCTTCCGCCTCAGCCTTCCAAGTAGTCGGAACTACAGGCGCACGCTACCACGCCCGGCTAATTTTTTGATGTATTGTAGAGATGAGGTCTCGCCAAGTTGCCCAGGCGGGTCTCGAACCCGCGGGCTCATGCAATCCACTCACCTCAGCCTCCCAAAGTGCTGGGATTACAGGTTGAGCCACCGAGCCCGGCTCATAAACTCTATTTTAAGGCAAATTCTTTGGAGTATAAGTTAGCAAACCATTTTACTATCATATCATATAGAGAGATACTATTTTTTTTAGATTGAGGAAGGCACAGCTAAGGGGAAACGTATTGCTCTTTTTAAATAGAAGAGATATTATGCTTTTTGCGCTAGTCACTCTAGAAATTAAAAATAGGATCTCTGAATGGAAACTCCACAGGAGCAGATTTTAGTTCTGTGTACACCATTAGTATATTAACATAATTTTATTTACCATTTATGGAATGCTGGCTTTGTACCTGAGAGCACTATAAGTATTATCTCATTTAGTCATCAGGTAACCCTTGAGGCACGTATTATTATCCTTATCTTACAGATGAAGAAACTGAAGTTCAGAGAGGTTCAAGGTCACATAATTAGTGCCCGAGGCTCTTAAGAGCTCACACATTTCTTACTGTGCAGTTATTAATAAAGGTACTGTGCTGTACTCTTAGTCATTTCAAATTAGAATTAGAAATGTTTAAATTTGACTCAGTACAAGCTTTTCAAAAAAAGAAAGCAAAATCATTTTTTTCAGGCTGAATAACATTTTCTAGCTAAATAACTATCCGACCTGATCTTGGTCCCTGGTCCTGCATGCATTTTGGATGTTTGATTTTGGGGTTCAAGATATCTCCCCCAACTTCCCATTGAACCACTTATTTTAGAACTAGGAGCTTATCTTTCACTCATCTTCCTATGGCTTTTTCATTAGAAAAAGCATGTTTATAATTTTATTAGAAACAGCATATATAATTTACCTGTGAAAAAACGATTTCAGATGCTGACTTGGGACGCTGTCTCACGGCAGATGGTCTTTACCTGTATACTACTAACTCAGTTGGAAGAGGAGTAAGCAAATTGGGGTCTGGATTACATGGTACTCTCAGGTCAGTTGCATGGAACTTGCTGAATGATTTGGCTGGAACAGTTTCCTCCTTATATGAATCTGTGAAGAAGATGCTGGGGATCCATTCTGCCTCCCCATAGACTAGTAACTAAATAACAAATCTGAGCTAATTCAAATGATTCCAGTCTTCTCTTATTGCCACCTCCTTCCATAAATGCATTTTAGCTTTGTTTTGACTCTGAAGAGTTTGGTAGCCCTAAGTTCATTGTTTCCAGCCAGAAATTTCTCTGTAATCAGGATTTTTATAATAATATTAATGATTTCTCCATGTTTGATAAATGCACATCTTTCTACTTAAGTTTTTTTGAACGTGGGTTTGTTATTGAATTAGCACTGATTTTCAGTTGGGATATAAGATCTACGAATTGCTGCCCAAAGAAACCCTAGTTTGAGAGCCTCATATACATTTGTTAGACATTTTCCCCAACTTCTTCTCTAATTCACTGTGGAAAATGAATATTTGCCATAATTTCTTAACCCCAAAGTTAATGGAGTATATTCACTTTCTGTCAGATGTTTTGCATACTTAGTCATTTTTTAAAAATTAGGTCGAAAATGTTGATTGTGTCTGTTTTAGCTCATTGTGGGGTTTCTGACATAGCCCGGTGACTCAGCCTGTTCACTGTTTTCTTCCACAGAGGTTTTGTGTACTGCCGGAATGAGGAACTTGAACCAGGATGGGTGGCTTTTGGCAGTGGCAGTCTTCTCCACCGGCCTGTATCTTTTGATAATAAACCTCACTCCCTTTTCCAGGTCATTGACCAGAACACTCTTCAGGTAAACAGTAAAGCAAAGCATTGTCTTTTATGTTTTGGAGATAGTAAGGGACGTTTCTGACATCATCAGAAGTAATAACAATGCATTTGATGTGTTTTCTTTCCAGAGTGACATCTTTTTAATTGTTATAGTTTGGGTATTCTCTGTTTTTTCTTTTTCTTTTTTTGAATTGGAGTCTCACTCCGTCACTCAGACTAGAGTGCAGTGGCCGCTCCCAACCACCGCAGCCTCCACCTGCTGGGCTCCGGCGATCCTTCTGCCTCAGCCTTCCAAGTAGCTGAAACTACAGGCATGTGCTACTACGCCCGGCTAATTTTTGATTTATTGTAGAGATGAGGTCTCGCCAAGTTGTCCAGGCAGATCAGATCTTGAACCGGTGGGCTCTGGCAATCCACTCACCTCAGCCTCCCAAAGCGCTGGGATTACAGGCTGAGCCACCGAGCCCGGCTTGTTTTTTCTTTAATGTCTTAGATTTTTCCCACACACACAGAAAAGAAAAAAGCTGAGTGAATATGTTAAGTTTCTAAAACCCAACAACAAACATTTTTTTTAATGATTAAAAAAATTCTAGACAGTCAAAGATAGTATAAATACCAATTTTGTTTTGTTTTGTTGAGTTGGAGTCTTACTCTGTCACCCAGACTGGAGTGCAGTGGCCGCTCCCGGCCACTACAGCCTCGACCTGCTGGGCTCCGGTGATCCTTCTGCCTCAGCCTTCCGAGTAGTCGAAACTACAGGCACGCGTTACCACGCCTGGCTAGTTTTTTATTTATTATAGAGACGAGGTCTCCCCAACTTACACAAGTGGGTCTCGAACCTGCCGGCTCATGCAATCCACTCGCCTCGGCCTCCCAGAATGCTGGGATTACAGGCTGAGGCATCGAGCCTGGCCCTCTTTTTTTTTTTTTTAATTAAAAACAATTTTTTTGAGTTGATATCCCACTCTGTCATCCAGGCTGGAGTGCAGTGGCACCCTCATGGGTCACTGCAGCCTCGATTTCTTGGGCTCAAGCAGTCCTCCCACCTCAGCTTCCCATGTAACTGGGACTACAGGTGCACACTACCATGCCTGACTAATTTTTTATTTTTATTTTATTTGATTTTTAAATTTTTATTTATTTATTTATTTATTTTGAGTTGGAGTCTCACTCTGTCGCCCAGACTGGAGTTCAGTGGCTGCTCCCGGCCACCGCAGCCTCGACCTGCTGGGCTCCGGTGATCCTTCCACCTCAGCCTCCCAAGTAGCCAGAATTACAGGCATGCGCTACCACGCCCGGCTGATTTTTTTGATTTATTGTAGAAATGAGGTCTCGCTGCCCAGAGGGTCTCGAACCCG